TATCTATCTATCTATCTATCTATCTATCTATCTATCTATCTATCTATTATCTTGTATCCAGAATTACATAATCTTTATGCTAGTGTGACATCTGGCGTGATGGGTGCAGATGGGGCCAATCGAAACTATAATTGCAGGTTGTTATCGCTAGATAAAACAACCATGCTGCAGTCATTTTAGCTTGAATGAATGTGGCAAACTGCTTTTTTCCACATCACTCAAGCATCTTACTGTTACCCTAATTGAAGACCATCATGCCCAGTTGAGCCTGTTCCCTTGTGGGTGGAGCGGGGGGGATGCCACAGAGAGTATAATTTTGACTTAAAACAAGATTTGAGATTTCAAACAGCAGCTAAAGTGTGTGTGTGTTTTGTTGTTGTTAACTGTGGCCACCGTTAATTTTGCCTCTTGTTCCTCTCCTATTTACTTTTCATTGATAGAAAGTACTTATTGGCTAAGACGTTTGGTGGATGCAGCCATTCTTGACAGTTCTTTGCTTCATTTAGGAAATTGTCAGAAAACCCTCGGGGAAATTTTTTTTGATAAGGTCACTTCTTTAAGAAAAAGGTTGCTTTGGACTCGTAGTGTTTTAGTTAACTGGATACTGGGTAAAAAAAACACAACTCCTCATAAGCTTTACACAGCACTTGACAAGAACAGATTAGATGATTGGGAATGGCTAAGTCTAACAAGATCCAATCACGTCCTCTTGAATTATCATTACATACTCCACTCCCATAAACCCATATAACAAGACATTAAAATCTAACCAATCTACTATGTTCAACCCAGAAAACTGTAGACAAAAAAAAAAAAAGCTATGTTGCTTTGTCATGCCATGTATACATCTCCTAGTCAATCACTTATCTTGCATTCACAGTAAACAATCAGGTCTCGTTTTCATTTAATTTCTACTGCTTTTTATTGCTAAAGGCAACTTGAGGAGAAACTCACCAATTGTAAAGTAAGATGTAAAAAAATAGAGCCAAAAAAAGACAAGTAAACTCTTGCTGGTTCAGATCTGTCGGCAATCAGCCAACAGATCTCTTTCTAGTGTTCTTAAGTGGGACTTTTGTGCCTGTTTTCTCTCTCTGGTATTTGTTATTTTGTTTGTTAACTTACTTATAGCTACCATGTTATTCTGTGGAAATATCCCAATTTTTGTATAGATTGAGTGCATTGATCCGTGTTGGCAGGGAGTGTGTTGACAAAAATAATAATAATTGTCATGTGATTTTTTGCCCTAATATTAGTTGGCTCTCCTGGATAATAAACAGGTGTGTTTAAATTTGGGTTTAAGTTTGAAAAAATTGTTATCGATTGGAATCGATAAAGGTTCAGTTAATTTAAATAAAATAGTTTGACCATAGTGTGAAACAGGGTTAACCATACTAACCAGCAGCTCCTACTAAGCCCACCCCAGTATTTACTGCTAACTGGTTTTGATTAATTTAGCGGTAACTGTTTATACTGCAGTCTCCTTTCAAATCGCTGATTAGGTGATTAAAACTGATCTTGATTTTCCAAGTCTTACAGATTCATAATGAATCTTAAACAAATATTGCTCCTTCATTATAGGAAGGTGCCTTTCAGCTCTTAGACCAATCTGTGTCAACATTAAGCTGTGCCTCATTTGCTGTGGGGCAAAACAGAGACTGGCCCCTAATTGTTAGAACAACATTTAGCAAAAAACTAAACAAAGAAAGAAAGAAACAGCTGAATTTGAAATCGTCTTGCGGTTTTTAGCATCTAACCTTCAGCACATCCACCTCTGTCATTTTTCCACAGCTAATCACACCTCCTAGTCATGATGGCTGGAGCCACAACAACCCCCCCCTGTTTCTATGCCACTTCAACGGAGGGGTTAAATGCCATTTCAGAATGAACTCTTTCAGCACTACGTAAATAATTAACCTGTAGCCTTTGGGTGGACCAGTTATTGAAACAGATGGTAAGGCAGGTTTACATTCACCCACACAGACTCCTGGGGCACTACAACATCAACAGGGTATTTAGCTTGGCAAATGTATTCATGACATTGTGGTTCCTCTCAAACAACAGTTCTAATATCTAGGGGTAGATGAGTGGTTACATTCCCTTTCTGGATATCTTTTAAGGAACTTGGAATACTTTCCAAGAAGACTGCGTTTAATCACTGTGATGACACTGTATCTCCATGTCAGAATGCTACTAACAACACACACATTGACAGTATTTTACGAGGCTTTGACTTCAAAATGATATGAAATAAATTACACAAATAAATAGATAAACTGTTGCAGGTCACAATGAACCTCCCTCCACCAGATGTAATTTTAATGAAGAGTAATTGTAAAATAGGGCTTGTATCTGTAAATGTATTTGTAAAAAAGAAAGTGTGTGCGAAAGAACATTGCAAAGTCAGTTTACTCAGTCTATTGCATAGCAGATTTTCAACAAAGTCATGATAGTTTTTACATCAAGATCACAGTTTGCAGAGAATTGAAATCATCATTTTATCATTGTTTTGAAACATGTTTGTCTAAACACCATCATCTTGATAATCTGCTCCCTCTTCTCCACCTCCTTATTCCCTACAATCTCCCTGTTTCTCAACAGACATCTGCCAGTGGAGCGAGGCTGCCAATTTGCAGGCTATAAAATAAATAGCCCATACTAATTAAGATGGCTTAGTGGGTCTGAGAAGTGGAGACACTGATGTGGAAGCAGCCACAGAGAGCTGCAAAAAATTGTGCTTTTTTTGATGAGACACTTTGTAAGATGAAACGGATTTTTTTTAAACAAAAAAAAAAAACCCAACAAACAAAATAAGATATGAATCCCTGCTTTTTCAAGTGTATATACATTGTTTATAACACAAGTAGATCATTCTTTACATATAAATACAAATTTGTAAATTGGCATATGATCCCAGAGGAAATGTGTGTTCACATATTTGTGTTAATTGATCTTCTGTGTGATCTCAATTTGTGTTTGCATGTCACTGCAATTGTCTAATACCTTGGCTTATAATAACGGTAATAAATAGCCAGTATTATTTTGCAATGCATTTCCTCTCCCACTTGTCTTTCCCATTGAGATGCAACAGCACCTCATGCAACAGCTCCTCTGTCTGTTATCAGACCATCTGTGTGTAAACATTAAGGGGACGTGTGTTAGGGAACACAATGTTTTCCCAGTAAATACCATGTTTGTTGATAGGCTGTGTTAATCAGCTAGCTTTGTATATCTCTTTCTGTTTCTCACACAAAGATGACCGTCAACTGATCTCTAAACTTTGTTATTAATGGAAGACTAGAGTTATATTAATCAAAACACATGGTGACTTTTAAACATAAGTTGGGTAGGAATTCACCAGGGCAGCGTCAACACCTTTATGGTCGGGGTGGCATTGTGCTCTATTACAAGAAACACCAGCTACCTCTTTAGTTCCGAATTGACTCAAAAAAGAAACAGAGATTGCTGTCAAGTTCCAACTCGGAAGCTCATGCTCTGTCCACACTTTCAACTCAATTGCTGCTAGAACTGTGTTCCTCATCACAGCAGCCTGTAAGTATGCTCAGCAATTCTTCCCCTAGCGCCAAAGGGCCCCTTACATGGCTCATTAATAATCAGCCCCTGCTAATAGATGAGACTGGGAAATACCAAGTTAATCATGGAAAGAATGTAACAGATTTAACCAGCCTATCGAAGGGAATGAGGCATGGTTTCAGGACGAGTTTGAGTATGTCAGGGTAGAGTGTTGCTTTGATCTCATAAATGGACCCAGACTCCACCAGCTGCTCAGCCATGCCAGTGGCATGTAAAAATCCAGACGCATTGAAACATAGCAGAGATGCACACTGACACAAACCCAGATTATGAGAAAGTAGCCACCTTGCCAAGCCATTTATCATGTCTCAGAGGTCATTGGGGCGACTGCTGCTATGGTTAATTAACGAAAGTGGAGTCTGTAGCACCTGTCAGCCTACTAGTTACTCTTTAGATATAATGTCCTCCTATCCCCCCACCACCTTCCCATCCTTTTTAAAATCCAAACAAAGGAAGACAGCAAAGCCAGCAGTAAATTCTTCTTGTTTTGTTTTGGGGATGTTATTTGTATTATTTGTAATATACCTGAATGGTACCAAGAGCTCCTATCTTATGGTGAAACTGTTCTGCATACAACTGTGGCACTCAAAGCACCTCCGCACATGAACTGTGCTAAAATGACCAATTCACTCTGAATACCCAGTTTGTTTGGCTGATAATAGCAGGTTCATAATGGTGGACATCTTACAATGAAACAACACTTCAGATTTGTTAGTTCTGTAATTATACCTAATTATATTTAAACACCCATTCTTCTTCTGCTTAGGGCGAGATCATCAGCCTTTCCCATAGCCTTCAAGCATTTTCGACTACCAAGCGATTATCTGTGGTTTGAACCAGCCTGTTCCGATTATTGCACCTATAATCTGCTGTTGCTGAACCTTGCCTGCCTCTGAACCAGCTTAAGCTTCTTTTCTTTTGGATATTCTGGACCTGAGATTCTTCTGTGCCTAACCCTGGATACGGAGACACAGCTATAGATGTATCATATATTCTAGTATTGAGGAATATATACAATTTCTAACAAATCTAAACCTGGAACTTTAATTTTATTACCCACCTGTTTTAAAGATCTCATATCGAATGGAGAAACCTGCTCCATGGGTCTCGTAGTCAGACACAAACTTGATGAAGAGCTGATTTCCAGAAGAGACTACTGGAGAGGGGGCAATCTTCCCACAGTACTTCCCCACCAGCTGACCATTGTCATCCACACCATCTCGCACCTCCACATAGTCATACCTGAGTAAACAACAGAAAAAGCAGTGCTGGTAACCTTGTGCTGTATAATTCTTACAGTGGCAAAGTCTGGTTGTCCTTTTTTTTTGTGAACATGTCCATTTTTAGAATATTATTTTCATGCTATACTGTATCATTAAGGAGAAAATGCAAATGCAAATACGAAAACACACTTGAATTGTCAAAAGATCAGAAACACCAATAATACAATATACTGTTCAGAAAATCCTGGAAATCAAGCATTGTGTACTAAATAGCTCTCACGTAAAAACTCTGTGAGCAGGTGGCCGTCTATCCTTTCCTTCATATCCACACTCATCCACACTGATGATTTACTGTATTCCGTAGTACTGACGCCACGTCTTTAATTGAAAGGTTGTCACACATCTGTTAGCCACATGACAACACTCATTTTGTGTTAATGTTTAAAAAGAAAAAAAATAAGGGTAGAAAGCAATTATACTTTGGCCTTTAGCTGATATGTGTATTTTGAAATCACAGGCGATAGAGGTACTAAAACCCCACAGACACTCGAACATTGCACTCAAAGGGAATTTCACACCCGCAGCTATCAAAGCGAGCTCTCTTAATTGAGTCAGAAAAGAACTCTGGAGGAGAGGAGGACAGATTCTTCGTAGGAACATGCACTATGATTGAAAACACAAAAACACACAAGAAAAATGCATTTTAAACTTAATCTGGCAGAAAAAATTGGGATGATCTGAACAACAATGGAAGTCGAAACAGCCTATAAGGTTATCAGTTTATAAGTGTACAATTGTGCATGATATGTATTCATATTGTAGTTTTCAAAGTTCCTACCTGCATATGTATGTGACTTTTTAGGCTAGATGACGTTTCAATGCTGTGTTTTGACAGTAGGGGAATTGTTGGATAATCCAAATGGATCTCATCATGTTTCCATAGCATTTAATTGGCGACATTGAGAATTAAGCGCACATTTTATTTCAGGCTTTTTATGGAATATATTCCTACCCAAGGAATAATGAGCTGTCACACTGCTGTTCCACAATCATCACCAATTTAATTCATAACTATTGAAGTACAATAAATAACACAAATTCATTTTTTATTCCAAAATGATTGACAATAAGCCCTGAGATGGACTGGCAGACCATCAGGGTGTACCCGAACTCTTGTCCATTGTATACTGTGATAGGCTCCAGTACCCCAGCGAAGTGGTACAGAAAATAAAAGGATAGATGGATGAATTATTGTCAATACGTTATGTCTCCTAAGTGATTGTAAACTCACTTGATAGTTTAATAGATGTCCCCTCATTTTTGTTTTAATGGTGGATGGATAACGGTGTGATTTCAGAACTGGCCCATTCCCTCTTTTGTTGTTAGAACACCAGCTTTATCAACAACCTCACTTGATTCACACAACCTCCACATTGTTGAGACTATTTTCAAATCAACCGTTACTCAGTGAAGATGTTAAATATGGCATTAACAGTGTATTTATTCTTGGTGCTGCTCAATAAGATGGGTAGTCCTATAGGTATGATGGTATAGGTACACCAGCGTGTATTTTTCCCACATTGTGTATTTTTCAGTCTATAAAGGAGATATTATTTCCCAAGTTGTTTCTGATTTATACAGAGCCAATTTGTCCACTTAACTCCTCTCCTCTCCTCTGCTCTCTTATCCTCTTTTTTGTTCCCAGCCAAAAACAGACCATCAATCTCTCTGAGGCCCTTCTCTGGTCTATCAGCAGACCAATAATTCAAGTCAGAGCCTCCGTCTTTGCAGCTATCTTCCCCTTGCACACAATGTAACTGCCAAAAGCTGAGTATTGCCATAGACCTACAAAAAATATGCTGAGATGCATTACTGAGATGGAGAAAAGTAAGCTGCAGTGTAGCAGTAGTTGAGCATCTGTTTTTGGGGTTTTGCTATTTTTTTTGTGCTTGGTGGATTCTCAAGTATGTAAAAACAAATGTCTGCATATGAAAAGGATTTATCTGCATTGTATGCTTTGTAAAAAAGCATTGGTGTATAAATAGCATCACTCTGCATATCATGATGAAAACATTTCCCCAATGCCGTGAAACTACCTCATGCAAAATATCTCTATTTGTGCTAAAATAAGTGGTTTAAGCTGGAACTCCAATAGTTCTGCACCAGTGGGCCTACGTGCTCTGCTCTGATCCATGCAGCCCCTATAATTTGGAGTGCGTTATGAAAATCGCTTGGCTGGGCAGTCTGATGGCTTCCGAAGACTCTCCTGTTGCTTGCAGTGCCAAATGTAGCTGTAATATATTGCTCTAAACACCTGTGGGTACTCGCTTTCATAGTCTAAAATCCTGAGGGAGGACAAAGGACAGTTAACAACCTCTATCTAGGATCATAAAACATGTCCATGGGCATGTCCTACTTATAAACCTCTGAGAGTTCTACAGTTTGGGGGTTTGCTGCTGTTATATTTCCTCCTGGCCTGTCACATTAAACTTAGAAGGTTCTTTTAGGAGCTTTTGTCGTTCTTTTCATGTATTATCACTGCTGCTGTCTTTTTTCTTATTCCTCATGACAAAACAATCTAGTTGAGCCATGCACCTATTTATCGGTGTAGTCTGCTTTGGATCTGGGTGGGCTTGCATGCCACAACACACATACAGACAATTACACACACAGTCAGTTGCCTACCATGGTGCTAATAGTGAAAACGGTTTGCCAATCCAGTGGGGAAATTAAAAGGAAAAAAGAATGAGGGGGGGGTAGCTGAGTAAGAGGAGGGGAACAATGTAATACTTAATGACCTTCGGTTCACCAACTCAAACGTATTAGCCTGCCTTCTTTCTTCAGGCACAGACAAAAAGCAATCCGCGAGTGTCAAACGAGAACATTAGTCCTCGTCACACAGCCGAGAGAAGGCGACAAACCTTCTGGCCCAACAATATAATAGTTGTATTGCCGGAAGCTTTTCCATGGAAATAATCTGTCCACTCCATAAATTTTTCTACTTTATATGGTTTTACAAAAGCAATACAATCGGAAGCAATGGAATAATAAACCTACAACAGACAGTGTAACTTTTACAGTTGGTTAGATGTCTTGATCAGACCATTTACACATTTTAATATTCTGTTGAAAGAAACCAGAGCAGGAATTTGCAATCACACTTCGGTTCAGCAGCCATCCATCCATCCATCCATTGTCCACTGCTTATCCGGGGTCGGGTCGCGGGGGCAGCAGCCGGAGCAGGGAGACCCAGACTTCCCTCTCCCCGGCCACTTCAGCCAGCTCCTCCGGGGGGATCCCGAGGCGTACACACCGGTTCAGCAGCATGAAAATAAATGTCTAAGCCTTTCTTTTGCATTTTGTCTTTCTGCTGTGAAGACCAAATGTCACCTACAAGATGTTAAGACAAAATAAATAAAGCTCGGTGAAGCCCAGGGACATTTGTGGGAAAAAGGACCCTGTTGTCAGCTGTCAGAAAACTCAGACTAGGGGACTGCAGGTATTAACCAGTTTCATTTAAAGAAAACTTGGGGCTTAGGCAAAGCATTATTAACATTTGTACAAGTGGGCTTAGGACAAGCTGATCTTTGAGTTACTTTTCTGAGCCTAGGGGACATATGTCAACAAAATAAATCATGTTTCTTTCTCAACTTTCAAATCCCTGTTGCCTTCCTAATGCACATGACATTCATTAACCTGTATTGGAGCGGGCTAGAATAACAGGTTCCATCTATCCTTGAGGACCACTGTAATGATCTCCATGCTGGCCTGCCTGCATGGAAAACAAATAAATAAATTGGGCTAATAAACCAGTTCTCCATAATAGTAATATCAGATCAAAACATGAACCCTAATTGACCATTGAAACTCAGTTAATGTTGTAACTATGCTAAAAAATAATTGCAGAGGTTGATGACATCCAAATGTTTTTACATATCACACAGGTTCCCCACTTAACTAGTTAATGAACTTAGTAAATATGATTAATATTGCCCACCATTGTGGCCCATCCATTCTGTGAGTGCCTTTGTGTGTTACCACAATAAGTTTAAAAAGAACTGTTTTCATGTTAGCCATTGTTTTATTTCCGATATTTTTTCTGCCTTCGTTAAAAATGTGTGAAACATATTCCTTTCCTGAAATTATCATTAGTACTGATGGATTTAGAATGGTGACATCCATTAGCTTTCCTAATTATACTGTCGAGAGATCTGCTGTCGCCAACAATCAAATGAATGAATTTGGCCGTTTAAACTCTATTATTGCATCCCCAACCCCCAACAACCCCTCCACCTCTGTCAGCAACATGCACAGTAATCCTTTATTCGGAAATATGAGCGCACAGTAACAGAGGGAGACTTCTGGCCCAAGGGGGAGATCCTTTCTTCTCAGCACAGAGCAGGCTCACACTACTGAGAACTAATGAAGGGATGGGTTGAGGGTGTGGGGCTAAGAACAAGCAATGGAAATAACACTGACCACAAAAGCTCCCACTGTTATCAGGCCGTCTTCACAGCACCTCACATGTTGGGTCTACAACACTTTGAACCTTGGGGATGATGAACCATATTCAGCTGATTTGCATTACTACTGCCATGAAGCATTATGACAGGCCTACAGGGTTATGCATATTTTCATTAATCTTGTGAAGGAGCCACTTTATCAGAAATATCCCTATAAGCAAATATTACTAACAAGTAACACTTGTTTCCTATTCATTGTGGCTTATGAAAATTGATTTGATCAAATACTATATTGAGGTTTACAGCTCTATAATGAGTACATTTTTATAAAACACTGAAGACTTGTTGCATCAAACTATGTCTGTAGCATACGCCATATTTGATAGTAAGGAATATCTTTTGCTCCAATAACGATTTGAGTAAAAGAAAACGTGTGGAAACTAAGCCACCAACCTTCAAATAAATTTCATTATTAAGGCAAAACATGACCCGATGTTTACCAAAATCTTACATTATTTCTTAAAAAAAGCTTTTCTTTTAGATAAACATAGAAAA